ACTGATCAGCTGTGACTGTCATTTGACTAAAAACAGACTGAGACTTCCTCTGTGAAATTAAGTAATGTTATTAAGACACAGACGTGATGTGACATTCCAGTAATTTTGGAAAAGCCCCCAGTGGATTCTCTGTAGAAAATGACCTTGCTGGAGCCTGTGTGCAGGATGTGCTTGTTAGAAAACCAGCAATCATGCAGCTGAACTTCAATGTTATCTACGTCAAACTGGGGAAATTTTGTGGTACTGACTCACTAAATTCCAACACCTACTTGGCAGATGCTGTCGGTCAAATACGAGAAACAAAACAACCAGAGGAGAAATAAGGAAGATAAATGCTGACTAAACATGAAATGAGACATTTCATACTTTCCACAGCTATAAATGTCACCACTCTAATCCACACTGGGCTCATTGATTGTTTTAAAACCACAAACCACCTCCTCAGAGAAGATAAAATGCATAAATACAGCCAAGATACCACCATGATAAAAAGGCAAAGGTTTTCTGAATCTTAATCTCTAAAACAAAAAACACTTGTGATTAAAATACTGTAAATCACAAACTAAACTAAATTACTGCCTTGCAGTTGTTCCTCATACACCTTTGAACCTTTAAATTAATACTGCTGTACGTCTATTAGTCTGTAAGTTCACTTAGAGAAACAAAAAAGAGCCAAATTCCCTGTATATGTTTACAGGTTTGGCCAATAAAGCTGATTCTGATAGAACATAAAGTTTTAGCTGTGACAGTAAACAACGCTTCAAATATGGATGTCGCTGCAAAAAAAGCTGCAAATTCTAAAACATGGATGCTTCACACACGTTTAACCAAGCAGCAGCACAGAAAGTCTACATATTCACCACAGTTTTAAGGTGAGCACCCAAGATTAGTGTTACCAATTCAGTATCTGACCAAATTTGCAATATTATCACAATTTATCCTTCTGATCCTGACTTACGACTATAATAATAATAACGTTATGATGTCATAGTGAAGCTGACCTTTTGGATATAAAATGTCATGACTTCATTTTATTCTATCAGACATTTCTGTGATTTTTTGTCGTAATTATCAAATGAAGTGTTGTAAGGTCACAGTCACACCAAAATCTAATTAGTTCATCCTTGAGCGGATATTTGTGCCAAATTTGAAGAAATTCCCTCAAAGAGTCCCTGATATATTCACGAGAATGGGACGGACGGGCGGACTGACATACAGACAACCCAAAAACATAATGCCTCTGGCTGCGGCTGACGCTCGCGCTGAGGCATAAAAACGTCCACAACAGTTTGTATTATTCAGCTGCTTCAGCTCTGCCAGTGTTTCTGTTTCCAACCAGAACAAAAACAGGACTGAGATGCCACATTTTATGACACACACCAAATAACTTCATGTTTCATACTTTTGAAAACATCAAGAAGACACAGAATTAACATTCATGGTTGTGGACAATACCGTTCACTGTGTGTGGATGCAAAGGAATGTGTTACCAGCACTGTTTTACAGAAAAAGGAGAAGTTTCCATAATAGGATGTGAGGACATACAAGAAAAAATACATATTAATCATTTACTATGTGGCAACTATTCATTTAATAGATCTGTTTCTAGATCATTTAACATCTGTTTCTAATGATTGATGACTAATCTAATAATAATCAATTAGTCAACGGAAAGCAAATGAATCAGAAACTATTTTAATCATCGACTAACCCTTTTAAGAAGATTCTCAAATGTGAGGATTTGCTTCATTGAAAAGTGAATATTTGATCAGACAAAACTATTCCAATAACCATTTTTCACCATTTTCTGATCATTTATAGGGAAAAAAAGATGAATCAATTACTGAAGGAGATAATCGCCAATTTAAATGATAATGAAAATAATGAACAGTTTTCAATTGAATTTCCAGGAAGACAATAATGGATGGTAAACAACGATGTTATACAAGTCGCCCACTCCCACTCTGCCCAATACACCAGCAACCTGCTGTTGAATACATTTTAATCTCTTACACACTAAAGTAAAAACATGAAACAACTCAAGACTCACCAAGCTCTAATTCATGCAGGTAAACTCAGAGTAAAACGATATTAACATCTGTGTATTATCTCTCTTCACAGCAGCAGTGTGAGGAGTTTCACCCCCTTTTATGCGAGTGCTGCAGATATTACATTACTAATGTCTGCCTACAAGTAATTTGAGTACATCCATTGTGAATTACATCAACATTTGAGCACTCCTGAAATCCTGACACACAACAATGTCCTCATGGCACCATTGTCTGTAACTAGCTTCACGGTAACGAAGAGGTAATGAAACACTAACAAGGTCTTAGAGAAGGGTTGTAGGAGAAATACACATAAAGTTGTGTACCTTAAACAACCATTATTACAAACAGCTGTCCAAACACTGTTCACACTGAAATCCCTCAGAGCTGACAGCCACTGCTAGCTACCTCAACACACCTTTTACCTGCTGCTTCCGGCTAACCTAACTAGCTCGACGGCGACAGCAACACGGACGCTGTTGTATTTTAAAACAACACCAATCTATACGAATGATAGCTTGAACTTGTTTTTATACCCGTGTGTTAATTTCAACTCAACCGAGTAAGGCTAGGCGAGCTAACCTAGGCTAACGTTAGCTAGCGGCTAGCTCCACATTCGTTCGCCTCGGTGGGGACGACGGCGGCTTATGGACAACACAGACTGTAAGTCACTCACCCTCACAGGCTCTGTACAGGACCACCTGCACAACCACGACGGCTAACGAAATCCGTAGGTTAGCCATAATCAATAAATTCCCGGCTCATTGCATTGACACGTTTTTAGTTAAGCTAGCTAACGTTAGATGTGGCGAGGCGTGATGATGACAGCCAGCTAACCAGGCTGTCAGTGCACACAGAGGGGTTAGTTTACTAACATGGTCCACCAGCAGGCAGCAGCAGCAGCACACAGGCACAGGCACACACACACACACACAGGCACACACACACACACACGCACACACAGACACACGCACACACACAGGCACACACACACACACACACACACACACACACAAGGAGACTGAGGATCAGAGAGAGAGAGAGAGAGAGATCTATCTATCTATCTAAATATCTATCTATCTAAATATCTATCTATCTATCTATCTATCTATCTATCTATCTATCTAAATATCTATCTAAATATCTAAATATCTATCTATCTATCTATCTATCTATCTAAATATCTATCTATCTAAATATCTATCTAAATATCTATCTATCTATCTATCTATCTATCTATCTATCTATAGGTTAAAGGTCATCATCATGAGGGTATACTGTAAGGGTTGGGAGAATTACTTTAAAGTATAATCCTTTACAGTAACTAATCACCTGGCAATGACCTTATCCAAGTGTCACGATATTAAAGTAATGTAACTTGATTACTTTCTGTTACTTTTGGGTTGCATCAACATGAAATATGTAAATAAAAACAAGTCAATAACAAGTATTAATGTGTATTGTATAAGACAATAAGACCTTTGAGAAGAAAATGGAACCGGAAAAACTGTAAAATGGAAAGATTTTTATCATCAACATTGTGTCGTCTGTTCAGAGTATTTTTAAAGAGAAACAGGTGTATTTTAAAATTGTAATCCTACTAAATAATCCCCATTTTTACTAAATGCAACTGTAATCTGATTATTATTTATGTTTTATTATACATGTATTACACTAAGTACTTCTACTCAAGTACTGAACCTTGTACAACCCTGAGGAACTTGTACTTGAGTGTTTCCATTTTATCCTACTGAATATTTCTGCTCCACTACTTTTATTTGACAACATTAGTTAATTTGTAGATTCACATTATTGATACAAAATATAAATCAGGCAATAAATTATAACAAATTATAATGGAAATAAAGTGGTTAAATAAGCCATCACTAATGTACCAGCTGCAACATTAGTGATGTTTACACAATAATGCATCATTAATACATTGTTGTGACTCTGAAATGGACCATCTGGCATTATGAGTCATTTTGTTTCTCTAATTTAAGTACTTGATAAATTTAGTATATGCTGATAATGCTTATGTACTTTTACTTAAGTAAGATTTTAAATGCAACCTTAACTTGTCTTGTACCAGAGTATGTTCACACTATTGCTACTTTTGAAAGTTGTATTGCTAAAGTAAAGTAAGTAAAATATTTCAGTACTTCGTTCACCACTGGCTGGGATATTAAAGCTACACTAATTCTTTTTTTATCCATAGAAAGGCAGCAGAACAAACTAAAAATACAACACTGGCATACAATTATTGTCACCTCATGAAGTTACGGTGAACATTAAAATAATTGCCTATTTTTACATCAGCAAATAAGGAGGAAGATCGGCCTTCATATGAAGTTTATTCAGTGGAGGTCATAAATTTAGTTTCTTTTTAGCTCTGGTTTGGTCTCCACAAACCTCTAAGGAACATATCTGGCTCATTAGCTGTTAGATGCTGAGAACAGTTGTCTGCTGTGGCAGATTGTAGGCAGGAAAACCAAAACAATGAGCTAAAAAAGACTTAAAGACTCCATACAGCTAATCGAGAGTTTGGTGAAACTAAAACTTCTTGTTCATCACTACCAGTGACACCTTTCACATTACACATTGTCATTTGGTCAGTTGTTAATATTAAAGGTCCAGTGTGTAACATTCAGGAGATGGAATATAATATTCATATGTTTTTATTTGTGTATAATCACCTGAATTCTTATGTTTTCGTCACCTTAGAATGAGACGTTTTTTATCTACATCCTCCACGTTGAACCACCATGTTTCTACAGTAGTCCAGAACAGACAAACTAGACACTATAGTTTCTCCTACACACTTGGAAAGCTGAGCTGTATTTAAATGGTTGCAATCTCAAACTTCCTCTCTAAATCGGACACACTGGTCCTTTAAAATATCAACTAGTGCTGCTTTAAACAACCAAATGAAAGAACTGATTGAACTGAAACTCTCAATGTCCTACATTTATTTGTAAATCCGAGCAAATTGAATCCATGCACTCACAGAGTTAATAAAAACAGGTGATGTCATATGAACATGTTATTGGCAATATCAGGAAAAAATGGCAATAAAACTGAATGAGAGGATTAAACAGATCTGCCGTTTTGATTCATGTTAGCTACATTCGTGTACAGTATTTACAATGTATTGCTAGCTATTTACAAAAATAACAACAAATTCAACACATAAAACAATATTACATAATACAATGGAGCTAGTATATAGCTACATGTGTCTATATTTACATCTTGCATAGGAAATACAGGTCTACATACAGTACTCGCCTGTCTGTGCTTTATGTTAATGATGAGGTAGATATCATAAATGCTTTTTGCACCTATGAAACCAAATCAGCAAACATGGATTTCATGAATTGTATCATATTCATTAAACATTTCCTTTCTGTCTTTTTTGATTCAAAAATATATTTATGGAAAAATAAACTTTCTGTCTATTCTAACTCAAAATATAGATAATATTTGTCTCAACTTTTAGACATTAGAGTCCAAAAGAGTAGTTGCAGTGCTTGTTTGAGGTCATCTGTCATTCAGTTGTCATGTAGGTTGTAGGTTGAATATTGTCTGGTTCTTTGGTTTTAAAGTTTCAAGCCCTCAGTGGAGCATTTTTAAAAAGCGTCTTCTTCTCAAAAGGGATGATTCGATACAGCAGAACAATCATTTTTTGAAACTTTTAGTTTTTGGTCTTTTTCTCCTTTTCTTTTTTTTTGTCCTTTTTCTCTTTATCTGCCTTTTCTTTCTCAGATTTCTTCTTCTCCTTCTTTTTCTCATCCTTGATCTCCTTGTACTTCCACTTCGGTGGTTCCAGGAAGCGCTTGTCCATCTTCCTCTTCTTCTTCTCTTTCTTTGGCGTTGGCTCCGAAGGCCTCAGGATGTCGATCTTGGGGATGCAGCCGGAGGGGAACACGCTGTTCCTTCTCGCCATACTGCGTGGAATAAATGTGGTGGCGACTTTAGTGGAAGCCAGCGAGATGAGGCTGCCTCGGCGGTCAGACTCGGCGCAGCACGTTGTAGCGATGGACTCAGCAGAGTGGATTGTGGGAATTATATGAGATACTGAGCCATTGCTGTGGCACACTGAGCGCTCTTCTAATTCCTTATCCGAATGTTTCTTCACCAGCTCTGGCACAGCAAGGCGCCGCTTCCCCACCTCAGGAGGGCTCGTAGGGCAGAGCGGGCGGCATCCAATTGAAATCAGGGGACTGTGGACACTGGTGGTCATGCGCACCATGTGGTCCAAGCACCCGTTGTCCTCGGGGTCATGAGGAAATCTGAATCCAAATGTACTTTTGATCCGCTGCCTAATTTTTTCACTGGCACTCTTCACAGCTACAGCATTGTCTGCCCTCTCCTTGAGCTCAGGCCACTCAGGGACATAACTCTCACAGAACTGCTCAGCTTTAGGCCGCATATTCAGGCGGCGGAGGCGATGGATGATCTCATAGCGGCCGGTTTTCAGTGCCCACTCCCGAGCACATTTTCCTTTTGTGGAGTCTACTGCATGTAAGTCAGCTCCTGGAAATAAAGATGGTAGAACAAAGGAATTAGTAGGCCTTTTTTTTATGGCTGACATTTTGACCATTGTTAGAAGGACATGTGTTGTTAATCACGTTAATGATAGCTCTATCCCAGTTCACAGGTAGACCTCCCAGTGTGCCATACCAGTGAGCCAGTATGCACAAACCTAGGGCCCTGAAACTGAAACACCTCAATTGAATACAGGTATTATTATTAATTAATTAAGTTTAAATAAATAAGTTTTGCTAGAACATGTCAACATCTCTGCCACACTAAGGCCTGTAACAAAACATCGGCAATATACAGCACAGTGGTCACTGTACAGTCCTTTTTATTTTTAATTAGTCAGTTGAATATATTAATCAGCAACTATTTTGATAATTTATTAACATTTTTCAGGCAAAAATTCCAACCACTCTCTGGATTCAGCCTATCAAATATGACAATTTACTGTTTGTATTTATCCTATATGACCGTACATTTAATATCTGAAGGTTATGTATTGTTGCTGAAGAGATCTCTGTCGGCTCTGAGAAATTGTGAATGGCATTTGTTCTGTATTTTTCTTTTACATTTTGCAGATTAAAAGATGAATCGCTTAATCGAGAAAATAAACAGCTGATTAATGAATAAAGAAAATAATCGTTAATAGCAGCAGCCCTTCTGCAATGAGATTTAAGGAAACGTGTGCAGTCTATAAATACATCTACAAGTGACTTGTAGAGATTACTGCAGGCCGTTTTAGGGTGTTTGTGATAATGTCCTAAGAATGATCCCTTAAACCGATCTGGCGTCACCAGCACGTTCACTGGCAAACAGAGTTAGCTGGCTTCAAAAATGGACGGATAAACCGTGGGGTCAGCTATTCTCACCACCAGTGCTGTAACAGTTCACATAGAGCTGTAGTGCTCCTGCTTAATTAACTAAGTTTAAGGTTCAAAAGAGACCTAATAAAATCATAGTACAGCAGCTCCTGTATGAGTGAAATGTTGTTTGACTGGTGGTTGAAGAAGCTGAATGCCTGGAGGAAAACTACTCAGTACATCAGTCATCTGTACATTGTTTTATGTCCATAGAATGTACTTTTATGCCTTTTGTTACTTGTGAAAAGGTTTGAAAAGTGACTGAGTGGTTCATGTGTGTAACTTAACTATATTTAAGTCAAAATTAATATACAGGGAAAAATAAATGTGTCTCTTTAGGTATAATGTTCTATCACTGAGCAACATGTGATGCCAGCAAGGTCCAAATGTATGCCAACATTATACAATAAATTTAATTAAAATGAATGATAAACTAAGAGTTTTCCAAGACTCTAACGACAATAAATGAGAAATCAGGCAAAATGGTAGCTGTGGCCCTGCTCTTACGTACCCGCCATAACGAGGGCAGAGACGACGTCATTACGGCCGGTCATAGCAGCTTTGATGAGTGCTGTGAAACCTCGACAATCCTTTATTTCTGTGTCTATACCAGGGTAGTAGTTTAGGAGATACATGACTGTGTTGATGTGACCTGGAGATAAAAAACAGAATTCAGAGATCAGATCAACAGTGAGTCAGAAAATGACATTTGAAAGCTCGTTCTGCTTCTTACAAAAGTCTAAATTAACATGACTCAGGTGAAGATATTGACTGTTTGCATCAAGAAGAAATAAATTACTGAAGTTTAGAAGAGAAGAATATGTGATATTTGCTACTGACTGATTACACCACAATTGAGGTAGCTCAATTGTTTGTGTTTTGTTTTGTCACTGTTTGGTGTGTAGGTACAACTAACCTGCTTGGGATGCAATCATCAGAGCAGTGTTTCCTTCATTGTCCTGGTGATTTATGTCTATATAAGGACAGCTGTGAAGCCCATAAACAATGTCCACAAACCCTTTGCAGCAAGCCACCATCAAGCCATTCTGTTGGTGACAGTGAAAGGTAGGGATCAATGACAGTGGGAGCGTTTCAGACCTTTTAGTAAAAGACTGGAGCTATGATTTTACAGGTTCCGAATCATTAGTGTTATGAATGAGAGTCTCACCCAGCCATTGATGTCCAGCTCCATGACCTCCTCTTTTGTGACCCCTCTCTCCAGAACTTTCCGCAGAGAGACGGGTTCATTACGGGCGCACGCTCGGTACAGTGTTGATGCAGCAAGCCCGTTTGTTCTTTCTGGCATGTACTCTGGAAGCACCGAGTCATCGGAGAGGATGCTGTCTGAATCAGACTCGCTCCCTGACAGAGAAACATCATCCTCATCAGGGCCCGAGCCCAGGTGGGGGTCCTCTGCAGCAGTGGCCATCGTCCAACAACTGAACGGGTGAGATGGTACTCTATCCTTTGGCTACATCTAAAAGAAAATCCAAAACAGAAACTAGTCGGGCAGATACTAGATGTTGTCTATAGCAACAAAGGTGCAATCAGGTATGCTCGAAATAGAAAAGATGAATCTTTCCTCCCTAAAAACCTCTCTGTAATTACACATAATGCCAAGTTAAAATCATCTCCTTATTGTAGACAGAAAGTTGTTACACCACATCATGCTGTATATACAGTATAATGCTTCATGTGCCACACTGAAAGATTAAAAGTTTGATTATTGTCAGATTGTCGAAAGGGTCAGATGAGTCTGTCACACGAGACTATGAGTATATTATCTGTGTGTCGTGGAGTGGGTGTGGCTGTACGAGCTCAGTGTGCCTTTACTGTTGAGTAAGTGGATCAGCCTTTAAAGCCCTGCTGAACATACAGGAGGGCTAAATGAGGAACAACTCTCCTCAGAATAACCTCAGTCACATGTGGCCCTGGTCAACTCATGTTTTGGCTGCTTTCTGAAGACTATTCAGAACTACTGAAAAGAATAACTATTATGTTTTAGTTTCACCTGTAATGTAGTAATGCAGATGTTGTGATGTTCTTGACACTGTAAAAGGTCTAAAGAGGATCACTGACATTGATCGTCCAGAACACAGATTACCTGTTATGACTGTGTTGTACAAGATAACACTTACTATAAAATATGTTTAAATAAAAATCTTTAAGTACAGACATGTCACAGGCCAATGTGAACACAGTTTACGAAACCAAAGTAAAGAAGGGAAAATTCTGAGGCAGAAATGCAGCATCAATCATCCTTCATCATTACAGTATGTATGTTCAATCACTTTGATATATGGACATAAAGAACGTACACTTACCATAAGGGGCAATCCATCAGCTGTAATTGTCGATATATCCACCTGTCTGTGTGTGTATGTCACACCTCTGTGACTCTGTGGGCGACTTCTGACTTCCTCCAACACTCCTACTGTGTTGTCAGAGCAGCCGAGAGGTCACAGCTTCCTCCTGGCCCTGTAAATAGAGGTGCTTTACCCATTTCCATGCCACATATTGTTGTGATGACATAAAACAGAGAGGAGGAGTCTTCGCAGAGTCTTCAAAGAGACACTGTGTGTTCAGCTCCTGTGCTCGGCTCATCCCACTTACTAAGCTTTATGTAGAGGATTACTTAATTCCAGTATTGTCCATATAACGGTGCTTATACCATCTTTTAATTGGCTAAACTAAAGAGTTTTAACCCATGTATTAACTTTCTGGTACATTTGACTGATAAATCAGGAAGCAAAACTTTATCTGAAAAATAAATGAGAACATACAATGTGTAAAAAAAACCCTCTGTGGAATAATGACAATCACAACTCGCCTTCTCCAATATGAATAAGTATGCATTTGTGAAAAAAAACTCTCATTAAAAACACAGAAATAAAGTATTTTGTATCCCTTCACAATAATTAATCCGATTGTATATGTATAAAATGTTAATTGTAAACTGCTTATGCCAGAGGAATCGTATTAATTGTCAAGACTGACTAGCAGATGACCAAATCCTATCAGAGGTGACCAGCACACTCTGAACAGATGGGACAGAGTCCAGACTCAAGAAAACAGCAACAGAAGTTGTTTCACAGAACAGCAGTGGCAGCCGTGGCTGAGTCATGATATTTCTCAGATTTACCACAGGATGGAGATCTCTCACACACTTCACAGGTTCTACTGTCTGACTCCAGTCTTCATAATTTGGACATAATATGCTGAAACTGATGAGCAGTTATATCTGAGTCCTAAATATCAGGAAGGTACAAACTGAAGTGAGGTCTAAGAGGATTTAAGTATATTTTTGGTTCCACTGCGGGACTTGCAGTGTAGTCTTGGTTGAGTGTAGAAAACTGGAAAACAAGTGAATGAAACAGCACTAATAAAAATAAAAGGCAGATTGTATAGGCAGTATGATCTGTTCTACTCTATGGTAATAATAAAGCACTTTTAGTTTTTCTGAAGCTATTTGAAGTTAGTTAAACATCCTGCTTTGTGAATGGTGACCGACTGAAATTAGCCTATGGGACCTCTGGGACGTGGCTGGACCTGTCTGGACAGAATGAGCCCCCTCATGTCCAGAAGGGCCTGAGGACAGATCCCACTATAATTGAACAGCTGTCTTCATCTGCCCGGAGGAGAAGAAAGACCTCCAAAGCATAGATTGTCAGCTTTTGCCCTTCTGTTGGACATCAGGCAGGCTGGCTGAGATGTTTTCCTGAAACTTTTAAACCTGTTTTCTGTAGTTAGATTAAATAACAAGTCAAAGGTTCAGGCCTAGATGCTTAAACAAGGGAAAAAGGAATGAGATTGAATTTAAAGACATTAAGGTAAAAAAAAAAAAGGACACCATATTAGGAAAAACTCGAGGGGAAGAGAAAGGGATGAAAAATGAAGACTTTGGCAAAAGTGCAAGGGAGGACTGAACAACTTCTGGGATACAGGGTTGATAAAGTGAGTGTCTTCATTGTTCAAGTGAGGTGATGGAAATAACTTCAAGCCTAAAAACGTTTGTGTATCTGTATCTGTCTGTACTCTGGCTACTCTTATTTATTATATAAATGTTGAAATTGTGTGAAATGTAATGGAGTAAGACAAGAAGACCACACCTGAAAGTAAGAATAGTGTATGCATGCTGAAACTTTGGTATGCATTATTTGGTTATTTGGTTATTTTTACCTTGCTTTAGTCAAATGTTTCCCTTTATACACTTTAATAACGTGTAGATTTCAATATTAACATGATTCTTCCTTTTGAAACTGGAATAAACAATGTGGTTCTTTGTTAATGGGAATATATAAACCCCAAAACATTGCTGCTACTCATCTTATATTAGCAGATTAGCAAATGTATTTGTCTTCAGAATAGGGTTAATTTTCAGTTGATCTTTGTTGAATTATAACTGGCCATGTGTTAAGAAAACATCATGACTTGTATTAATTTAGCCCATGTGCTGCTGTTTATGTGTCACTACTTTATAATTTAAAAAATGCACAACAGTGTGCAGATAGGTGTGATTTGTCAACGCCAAGTCGGTCAACTGTTCTCCAGTTTACCCTCTAAACCTTTTCTACAATCTCGCCTTCATCACGTTGGTTAATTTTGATAGACGACCATCAAACAGTAAAAAACGTTAAGATGAATCGTATTCTTCAGACAGCGTCAGGTTTCTTTGGCCTAAGATTTGATGTTGTCCTGCACTCTTTAGCCCTCACTGAGAAATTCCTCAGATAAGATAAGGAACCACTTAAGCTGAAACAAAAAAACAAAGGAGAGAGGGGTCGAGACAGAGAGATGAAAAGTGATATAATTAGCTCAACTTTATCTGTCACACACGTACATTGAAATACATATACAGCTACAAATAAATGCTTTTAAGATAAAGAGGATAAGGTCTTTTTAATTAAACTTAATTTATATTTTATTTCACCCACTCACTCTCATGTCTGTCTGTGTGTAAGATTTCAGACACCAGCCGGGAGAAACTGTTGTCGGATGAAAACAACAAGGACACGCAGACGCAGTTCAAGTGGGTCAGAAAGTCTAGTGTGGCTGGAAGATGCAAAGGTAACACAGTGGGTTTATCTGCTGCTTACTGTAGTTTCGTGTTGTGTGCACCTCACCCATAGTGGGGAGCTGTCTGACAGAAATTCACATCTGAGATTTGACTGAAAGGAGTGTTTCACTTTTTGCACTAAACATCATGGATGAATTTAAAATGCTAGAGGCAACACCAAATATAAAAAGCACACATTACCTTATCCCAATGATTAAATATTGGCTCATTAGGTGTGTGCGTGCTCACGTACACATGCATACAGTAATCCTGCATTGTGGAGAGATCAGTGCTTTTCAGCTCACAGAGATCATCATGTCAGCAGAGTTTTTAAAGGCTTAACTCGATGGCCAAGAGAGCAAGAGCATTTTGTTATTTTTATAGCTGTAATCTGTCCTCTGTGGATTGAGATTCCAGGGTTGTGTTGGACGAACTGTGACGTGTGCTTATCTGTCTATGTATGTGTGTGTGTGTGTGTGTGTGTGTGTGGTACTGTGTAATATCTGTGTGGCACATAGAGACAGACAGCAGCTGTATTAGAGACAGATTCTTCTCTTTCTGTTGTTTTTTTTTGTCCTTCTGTGACTTTTTTGGGTTCGTATGAGTTTATGCATAAATCTCCTTGAATCACACTACCGGCTGCCATGAGCCTGGACAGCTGTGCTCGGAAGATCATCTAGTCATGAATGCTTAATCTTGGCTTTGAGATTTAATCGGTCCGCCTCCATCCTGCCAGCTCAGTTTCCACATGTTGGTTTTTCCACAGCAGAGGAAATGCTTTGGTACCTGTGGTGACAAAGGAGAGCAAACTGCCTTATTGATTAGAGGAGGAGGTTCTTAAAAAACATATATCATAGATAATCTTTGTTCATCAGATTTGATTCATCATTAATCTGCAAGTGCAAGATAAGATGTTCCTTTATTTATCCCCCATGGAAGAAATTCAAGTTTGACACATCAGCACAGGAAATGTAGTGCAAAAAGTACACAAGTGTAGAAATACAATAAAGAATAATACAATGAAAGTATTATAAAGATATAATAGAAAATAGAAAGCCTATAATGAAATATATATATATATATATATATATATATATATATATATATATATGCACTAAGAAATATTGTGTACAAAAATATTTTAAACAGTGTATAACTAGCTAGTTACAAACAGTTATGTACAGAGAAAGTCCCAGTCTCACTGTGGGAGGGTGATAGTATCTGTGCACACATTACCGAATTTTGTGACTATAAAACCACCAAGAAGCAGAGGTCAAGTGAATTTATTGAAATTCCTCGAAAACTAAGAAATGTGACCCCTCAGTACAGTTTGCATGTGTTTATGGTTGGTGGCCAGTTCAACCATATATACATTTTTCCTTCTTAACATATACGGCATATAAGGGAAAAAAAAAAGAAAGAAACCCATCTTTGTGTAGCAGAAACATAATTTAATGACCCCTTAGATTTATCTTGTGACCCCTTGGGAGAGTCCTGACCCACATTGGGAAACACATTGACTCTATGTTAGCTATGTTAGCACATCTGCAGTTGATTGGGTGTTAGTGGATCTTTGCTTGTGACAGTACCTTGTGTAAATGCATGCAATTATATTTCATTTAAATCTGTCATATCCTATAAATGCAGCTTGATGTATGGTGACAGATGAGTACGCATTTCTTTTAACGAGACGAAGAGTCAGCATTTTAACACGCTCACAATGGGGTGATATGTTCCCCAGTTCTAGGATTAGGACCTTCGGGAACAGATATTCTCCCTCTCTCAATGACAACCGTAACCTTATATCTTTAGCAGGTATAATGTTCACCATGTTAACCATATTAACATGTTAGCATGCTAACATTAGCTATTTGGCACTAAACACAAACATAGAGCTACGGTTGATGGGAGTGTCATTTAGAGGTATTTTTTAAAAGTTGGACCTGATTGTGGGTCTAGATGAAAAAAGGGGATCACAAAAGCTATTATAATTCATCCTGAGGGGGACACGAGTGCCTGGACCACATTTCATGGCAATCTGTCCAACAGTTGTCGAGATATTTGACTACACATCAACCTCATGGTGACGCTAAAGGAAAAGCTGTCCATGTGACAAAGTTGAGATATTTTAGTCTGGAACCAGGTGACAGACATTTCCATCCGTAGAGTCGTGTTGCTAGCGTGGCTAAAAATGTCATGGCACTGAATGGAAAGTTACTCCGCACAGTTTAAATTTTTGCTTATTTCATGGAAAAGCCCGTGTTTGTCATTGGTCATGCGATGACAGTACTCAAGGTCCCACAGCTACAGAGCAAACACAGAGAGGAGAAGCTGATGAGGGAGGCATGAAGAGAGAGGGCAGAGGGAGCAAAAGAGGAGGGGATAGAAATGAGAGGAGGTGGGTCTAGAGACAGATGCTAGCGCAGCAGTGCAGCATGTTAGCTACCACCACCCCCTACCCCCCACCCCCTCCATCATCACAGCCCCTCCCATTCCCTGCCCCTCTGTCGCTCCCTCACTTACT